TTGCACCATATTTTATACTTATTATACCGTTTTCCATATATCTTTTTGAATTTGGGAGGCAGTTCCCCATATTTGATTCTGCCCAGTTTTAAACGATCATTTCTGCGCCATAGTTTTGAAGGAGAATCTTTTAATGAAACAGAATTATTATACAGTCGCAATTTGACATGACAAGGTATATTGATCCTACACTCAAACAGTTTTTTAGCCCCAATATGGTGGGTTATGATAAGTTGTCGCCACTGCATATGGTCATTGTGATAAATTTGGGGTGCACTTTCTTTTAAAACTTAGGGGAAGGGAAACTACTTCTGCCATCGGAAAGGGCTGTATAAAAATGTTTCCTTCCATTAATTATACTTAAATTTGATCCACTTATAAATAAAGTTTATTGGGACATATTTCTTGTGCCTTTAATTTAAAGGGGGTGGTGCCATTTGAAATTTGTGAGTTGGGGTGGGAGCTACTTAGGGGGTTACTCACTCTGCGATAATTCTACATATATTCCAAACCGAGTTTTTCCAATTCTTCTATGTAGTCCATGGGCCAGTCAACATGACTGTATAATTTGGGGGTACCAATTTTCCTTTTTACAGTGGTTTATTAGGATGCCATAAAAACAATGATTGTCATCTCAAAGCGGTAGCTAATAGAAATGACGGTCAATCAAAGATGGCGGATGTTGAGTTTTATAAAATCAACTATATCTCTGGAATGATTGGTCCAATTTCATTATTCTTTTTTGTAATTAAACTTCTTTATACACGGTGTCCATTTTTCCAGTGCCACTATGGGGATCTCGCTTATCTTAAGAGATAGACATTTAGTTAAATGAGGGCAAGGTTGCGAATTTTCGTGTTGAATAATAATCTGAAAAGAAATTAAAAATATCTTCAATAGTTCGCAAAAAGAAGAAAATTTTTGATTTTCGTTTTTAATTTTTTCATAGTAAACTAATCGTTCTAAACATTTCTAATTAACACATTATCAAGACATTTTTTAATGCAGATTTCCCGTTTTCAATAACTTTTAAGATGACGAAGAAACACGTGAAAACTTTAATTTTTCTTATGGGCGCCGTTTTGGATTTCGATATTTTGAGATTACGTCTTTTTTTTCTCTTTACAACGATATATCACACATGGTGGTTCAGTAACACATTTTTCCCAAAATTACAATTTTCATTTTCTGCGAAGAGTGCTTTGGAAGAACAAAACGTTCTTTTGTTGTTAACAAAAGGTTGACTTATTTCAAGAAGTGTAATTTAGGTTTGTGCTAGATTTATTGCGAAAATATTATTTCTTCTTAAGTATTTTGTTCTAATTACAATTATAAGTTTCTTGCAAAACGAAGGTTCAATTCTATTCAGATGAAAATCTCAACACAACTAGTTCCCTGCCAACACTCCAACCAGACAGATGGATCAAACTGTCAAACTTTTGTTCACGATAAAAGAACGTTTTGTTTTTCCAAAGCACTCTTCCCGAAAAATTAAAAAGTGTCTGAATAAAGTTTTTTTTGGGATATTTTCAAAACTATTAAAGATATTTTTAATGTCTTTTCGGATTATTATTCAGCACGAAAATTTGCAACTTTGTCCCCATTTAACCAACTCTCTATCTCTTCAGGTAAGCGAGATCCCCATAGTGGCACTCGAAAAAATGTGCTATAAATATTGTTATAAGTACTTTTTCGATAAAATCAACTATTAATAAGTAATTAAACAAATGTTTCCGTTAGTTTACGTCATGCAGTAGTTACTAATCGTTGCTTTTATCGAAAAAGTAGTTATGACAATATTGTAGCACATACAAAAGTTTTCATTTAAGAAAATGATGAAGTCGGACCAATAGTTCTAGAGAGAGATATAGTTGATTTTATAAAACTCAACATCCGCCATCTTTGAGATGGCAATCATGGTTTTTTTTACATCCTAATATATGTGTCTAACCGTGGTAAAAAGGAAAATTGGTACCCCTAGATATACCATTTCCTTAAATTTATCCTGTTGGCCCATATACTGAGTATAAACTCAAATAAGAACCACCACCACAATGTAAAGCATGCAATACCTTCTACTAAACTGTCCAGAATTGGAGAATCTAAGGAAACAATGTGACATCCAGAATCTCCAGACAAAAATATTTTCTGACAGCAACCTGAGTAAACTCCTAAAGTTTCTAAAACGGACTAAATCTGCTATTTAAGTTTTTTTATAATTCTATATTTTTGATATGTAATTTTCTACCCAAGTGCCAAAAACCTAAAGATGTTGGGCAGGTTAAATATATATTTAAAAAATTCACACAATAGTGTATACAGGGTGTTTTTTGGGAGCTTTAGTTAAAAGTTTCTGGGAAAGTAAAATAGGTAGGTTTTTGAAAATTTGTACTTAGGAGTTACTCGGAAGGCCGAATCGATGTAAAATATTTTCAAAATGGCCGCACTTCCGGAAACACCGGAAGTAGATAGTAACTTCGTTATTTTAAATGGCAACCCCTATTTTTTATTGCATTTTTGGATTCTACGTGAAATTTCACTTCTTTTGATACCCATATGTCGATATCTGCCATTTATGGTTTTTAAGTTATTTTGACTTTAAGAAAAAAAAATGGCGGATGCAGATGGTACCTTGATAATTGATTACTTGAAAACGGTTGTAGTCATGGCAACCTATTTTTATCAGTGCATAGAGAATGAATAGGGCTTTCTTTTAGTGCACTTAAAAAAAAGTTAAGTTGCGTACGACCGCCCCTATGGATATCCAAATTTATGAAACTTCAAAGACTAAAAACTCAGTTTTTTTAAATGGAATGACCATGTTCTTACTATTCCATGAGATAGAGAATCGAAATGGGCATATTTTGACAATACATGTTCCTATAGCTATCTTTAACAGTTTCTGACTTATTCCCATTTTATTGAATTGACACTATTTTTTTCGGATTTTCTTTTTAGTAGTCGGTCATGATTCTATAACAATTGAATTTTAAACAAATCTAGTGACACTAATCCATCACCCACTGTTATAGGTTAACATAAGTTTTTCAAAAATCGAAAAATGACTCGCAGTGGTTTCACCTATTTTGGAATTTAATTGTTATTTGTGGTGAAATGGGCAGAATCGCGGCGCGTGCTTTCCGTACATTCATTCGAAAGCTGGAACGAAATTGTATGAATTTTGGAAATTTTGTACCCCTAATGCACTACAAACCGTTGAAGCACAAGTGATACAAAGCTCTACAAGAGAATATTTAAGAAAATGAATTGAATGGCAAATGCAAGATTTTCAAAATAAATTCAATGCAAAATATAAAAAACTTCGTTGAAACATTTTTGGTATGGAATTGTTGCTAGAACAGATATCGCATTACCTCTCTTAATTTCCAGACTTATACGTTGTTTAAGAAATTCAGTTGAACGATTCTGTTTAGATTTTTCAAAAATTTTCCGTCCTATATCCTTAATAAATGAGTTATTTATTAATGAATTATTTAGACTAGAATCAATGATATTAAAGAATCAATTCCTTGATTTGTTTAAAATTCGATTGTTATAAAATCATGGCCAACTACTAAAAAGAAAATGCGAAAAAAAATTGCATCAATTCCGAGATCAATTCAATGAAATGGGAATAAATCAGAAACTGTTAAAGATAGATATAGGAACATGTAATATCAAAATATGCCAATTTCGATTCTCTATCTCATGCAATATTAAGAACATGGTCATTCCATTTAAAAAAACTGAGTTTATAGACTTTGAAGTTTCTTAAATTTGGATCTCCATAGGTGCGGTTGTACGCAACTTAACTTTTTTTTAAGTACACTAAAAGAAAGCCCTATTCATTCTCTATGCACTGATAAAAATGGGTTGCCAGGACTATAACCTTTTTCAAGTAATCAATTATCAAGGTACCATCTGCATCCGCCATTTTCTTTCTTAAAGTCAAAATAACTTAAAAACCATTAATTGGAGATATGACATATGGGTATCAAAAGAACTGAAATTTCACGTAGAATCCAAAAATGCAATAAAAAATAGGGGTTGCCGTTTAAAATAACGGAATGACTATCTACTTCCGGTGTTTCCGGAAGTGCGGCCATTTTAAAAATATTTTACATAGATTCGGCCTTCAGAGTAACTCCTAAGTACAAATGTTCAAAAACCTACCTATTTTACTTTCCCAGAAACTTTTAACTAAAGCTCCCAAAAAAACACCCTGTATACTCAATGATGTCGACGCAAAATTTGAATTTTAATATGAAATCTTCCAAATTTTTTTGAAAATTGGAATATTAAGTATGCCAGAATTAGAAAAGAAAAGTGGCCAAACAAATGCAAATGGTGTAGAAGAATCCAAGAGTGATTGGTGTTATTCCTATACCGTGCAAAAAAATAACCATTGGAATTACTACTTCTGAGTCTTCGTATTTCGACAATTTAAAAGGTGGTATTGTTTTGGTTCAAAGAATTATTAACTTTCTTTATTCATGATCTTCATTATAGTTAGGCGAATTTCACGTTCCTTTTGTACTTGCATTAAACAGTCAAGCTGAACTAATTTTTCCTTTAAACTCGAACCGTAGGAGTCTAGGAAGGTGTTATTAAGCGCTAATTAATTTTTTACCGTGCAAAAAAGAGTTGCGACAAGTACAAATATAAACGGGGTGTCACTCATTTGTGCATTCATAACACGACTTTGGTGTAATAGCCGCAAATTTTAATCAATCTTCGTCACTTCTTCAAATTATGCCATTACCTCAGTGCGAGAATTATTAGTGCACGTAATTACTTCAGCAAGTGAAGATCGTAAAAAATTTCTGCTATTTTCTAATTTTATAATTCATTACAATAAATTTCTCTTCGCCGTATTTCTTCATTTCATGCAACTATAATTCTTGCGTCTCGAGGACTGAATCGTGAATATTCATAATCTTCCAGAAACTGTTCACTATCCAATAATCGAAGTTAATGAAACAGAATTAAAAATCTCTCACCTGTAAATGTGCAAAGATGCCGATAATGACAGAAGCGGTTATTAGAAACCGCCGTTTGGCCCCCCGCATGCCCTTGTATTAATTGCCACTGCCCCATTTAACAACTTTCCAACGACAATAAACAATCACATTCCACACCACCAAATTTTAAAGATCTCATATTGGCGATCGAAATAACTTGCGCATTTTTCCGGGATATAAAAAAAATCGACGCGCGAGTTGCAGTCTTCCGCAAGAACCTCGTCACCGAGCTAGTTAGTACCCTGCAGAACTTTGTGCAGAACTAACCATCAGAAGCTGTGATAGGAGATATTTCTATTCCCACTTTATGGGCATCGAACCGTATGCTTTTGTTAAATTTGTCTGCAAACTTAACAATGGCTGAATCCATTATTTTCGCTCATTTGTTAATCTATGACATTATTTGTTTGCTAACGAAGTTCCAGCCGCTTTTTATTTAAACTATTTGGAAATAGCGCGATTGAGTGAAAATGATATAATGCGGCAATTAAACCATTTTTTACAGCAAACAATGGAATAAACTTCACATGCGTTCATCTGCCTAAATTATTACTGTAATTTACAATTTACCTAATGCTTAAAATTTGAGTAATTTATCTTGAATCAGCAACTAAAGCTCGTCACGACCCAGCTTTTTTTTTCGAAGCACTCAATTATCGAAAATTATCTCTGCATAAAAGAGGTATTTTGTTGCAACATCTTAATCAACTTACTGCCTACTTGATATTGTTCTGCCTTTCATATCGCCAAATTATTACATAAAAAACACTTTTTTTAGTGTTGAAAAAGCTCTAAATTTGCATTAAAATTTTGTTTGAAATTTCGTTGTGAAGTTGGAAATGTTGAGATTTATTTCTAAGGGTTTCTAAGGGTAGAACCATTAAACATTGCATTTCATTCAAACTTATCGGCACAAAATGACGCAACCAATCAAAACGCAACCCTATGACGTCATAAAAAAGAGGGGGGATAATCAGGCTCTTACTACTGGTTTGAAATATTCCATCGACATGAAAATTTCTACTAACATAGCAAATACAAAATCCTCCAGTACAGCCAGCACCGATTTCAGAAAAGGGACAGGGCATTTTATGCCTAAGAATATGTGTATCAGACCGATAACCTCAAAAGGGCAAGGGAAAGCCAAAATTCCGTATTTATTTCGCCCACAAAAACAAGTGGGATAGGAAACGGAATAAAACATGAGATGCACTAAGGAATACCGAATAATCCAGAGGTCATAACATCTTGGAAATGTTTGGAAACCAGAGGCAACAACCTTTTAAGAAGGGGGTAGTGTAACAAAACCGCATTATCCTTCTTCCTTTGGATTTTCTCTGCTTCCAGATGCTTTTATGTCAGTTTCATTGTAGTGCACACAGTTTTTCAACCCTAATTAGGTATAAATATAGACGGGTCGCATTATTTTCACCAGGAAAAGGTAAATGGAACAATGAATAGTCATATAACTACGTAGCGGTTCTGAAAACTGAGATCAAAATAAAATTCGCATTTTCTGTCTTAAGTGATTTTCAATCGATATACAGGGAATTAAATTTGGCATTATGGAATCCTATTCGCATCTTGAAAGCCACTCCGGAAAACGAGGGAAGTAAATATCAGGAAGTTTATAGATTAATTTTGGAATTGCGTGATAATGGTGGGTAGGCCAACGTGTAATAACATTACAAGAGCACTAATTAATGCGTTTAATTCGATAATTTATGTATCCGCTAATGTAATTATTTTTTTAAACGCAAAAGGGATAGGTACAATGAATTCGATGGAACGGTTTGTGCAGTAGCCAAATTTTATTTAGTAATAGCATTGAATTTATAACTTATAAATTCAATGGTAATAGTTAACCACAATTATGTGTCTCTAAATCTAAAAGATTGCGGCTAATTCTAATTCAAATCGTGTGTTGAATTGACATTCTTGTACCACCCTCCAGCGATTAAGTTGCTGTAGAGTTTATATTACACTAATGCCAGTGCAGTAGGAAAATATACAATGTTTTTTAGTAATTTCGTCACGTAGATTTTATTACTAATAAATAATTAATAAATTACAGCGCAACCGATAATGTTACTATAAAGTGCAGTTAGTAGGTAGACCCTTTTAATTAAATGCTCT